ACGACTGCGACTACGGGTAGAAATAAAGTCGGCGCGGGGCAGTACCAGCAGCTCTAGCTCCTCCAGCACCAACAGCACCAGCACCTCCAGCACCAGCAGCTCCAGTAGCACCTCTAGCACCTCCAGCACCAGCAGCACCACGAGCTCTGGCAGCGCCAGTATCTCTAGTACCTCCAACTCCAGCGCCTCCAGCACCAGCAGCACGAGCACCTCCAGTGCCAGCAGCTCCAGTAGCACCTCTAGCACTAGCACCACCACCAGCTCTGGCAGCTCCAGTACCTCTAGTACGAGCACCTCCAGTGTGAGAATCCCAACCACTAGACCATTGGGTTAAAAGGGCTTGTTAAGTAGCGGGTCAGTGCGCCCATAACCCCCCAGGACAACGAGCCTTTAACCCTTCCCTAGGATCAATCGGGGATCACTAGTGGACCTCTCACACCCCCCCGCACTGGGATGCCTGAAGTGCACACATTGGGATTCGAACCCAAGACCTTTGCTCTGATACCACGTAAGAATCCCAACCACTAGACCATTGGGATACAAGGGCTTGCTAAGTAGCGGGTCAGTGCGCCCATAACTCCCCATGACAACGAGCTTGTAACCCTTCCCTAGGATCAATCGGGGATCACCAGTGGACCTGTGACATCCTGGACTAGGAGCTCCCGCAGCTCTAGCACCAGTAGAACCAGCACCTCCAGTGCCAGCAGCTCCAGTACCCCAAGCACCTCTAGCAGCACCTCTAGCACCTCCAGCACCAGCGGCACCACCAGCTCTGGCAGCTCCAGTACCTCCAGTACGAGCACCTCTAGGACCAGCAGCTCCAGCACCTCCAGTACCTCCAACTCCAGTGCCTCCAGCACCAGCAGCACCTCCGGCACCTCCAGCACCAGCAATACATCCAGGTTTAGCAGCTCCAGCTCCTCCAGCACCAGTAGCACCTCCAGGACTAGTAGCTCCGGCACCTCCAGCACCAGCAGCACCTCCAGTACCTCCAGGATTAGCAGCTCCAGCACCTCAAGCACCAGCAGCACCTCTAGTACCTCCAGCACCAGCAGCACCTCCAGCACCCCCAGCAGTACCTCCAGCACCTCCAGCACCAGCAGTACCTCCAGGACTAGCAGCTCTAGCACCAGCAGGACCGTACCCTCCACCACCAGGACTACCTCGCCGAACGATCCACGCATGAATCGCCTGCGGCGAGAGCGTCACAAGTAGATCAGGCCGCGGTGGCTGTCCAGCTCCAGGACCTCCAGCAGGGTCACCCACAGCTCTACCGCCACTAGGACTCACAGCACCCCCAGAACCAGCACCCCCAGTCGCAGCACCCCTAGAATCCTCACCCTCTGTCTCGGCACCCCCAGGCTCAGCACCAGCAGTCTCAGCTCCAGAGTCCACAGCACCAGGCTGCGGAGGTGGCGAAGACGGCTGAGGCAGAAAAATAGGGGGGTTCTCCAAGCGTGGAGAGCGGCGAGTGGCCGCCGTGTCGTCAGCGGTGGGGTCACCCCCCTCAGCTGGGCCAGAGGAGTCAGAAGAGATCTCCAAAGGCTCAACCAACGGGAGTGTGTCTACCTGAGACACACCTGAGGGAGCAGGACCCTGTGGGGGAAGGGGATCTACCAAGGGGGGGACTAGTACCAGGAAAAGAGGCGCTAGGGGGACCGGGTGGGACGCGTGCAGGTGTAGCCTGTAGAAACAGACAGACTCATCAACGGTGACGTCCTAGGAGGAGAAGATTCGACGCTCGCGCAGGTAGTAGAACAGCCACGGCGGGGAAGCCAAGGAAGACGCAGCGGAGAGTGCGAGAGGAGAGCTTGCTCGCTTTGGCATCGCGAACAAGGGAGAGCACGCCCCAGACCCGAAACACCGACGCATCGCCAACCTTCCCCGTCCACCGGAGTGTAGGCGAGGTCTCTGGCTCAGAGACACGGGGTCAGAGGTTGAGCTGATGCGCAGTGTATCGGTCCACAAACGGCCACAGAAAATGGGGAGCAACCGCATGGATCATGGAGGTACGAGCAACCTCCATGATCAAGCCAATGTGACGCTCAGCAATCCCATTTTGCTGAGGAGAGGCCAAAAGCGTGAACGACTAGCGGATGCCCTCGTCTTGACAGAACTCCGCAAGGAGGTCACAAGAGAACTCACGGCCCCTGTTAGAGTGGAGACGCAAGACGGGAAAGTCCTGACGATACCGCTCGCGCAGCTAGCGATGAGTAGCACGGATCCAGGGGATCAAAACACCGTTGACGTCCGCCTTGCACCGCAAGGGGAAGACAGTGGTGTAGCGCGTGTAGTCGTCAACAACCAGCAGAAAGTAGCGCTCCTAGTCCGTTCCACCGACGGGGGCTGGGCCCCACACGTCCATGTGGAGAGTCTGCAGAGGATCAGTGGTCGGAGAAAACTCGAAGGAGTGAGGAGTGGCGCGCTGCTGCCCCTCGATGCAGGGAAGGCACGGCGGGGCAGGCGAGTGCGGGAGGGAGGGCAGGGACCTGGGAAGGCCATAGACAAGGAGACGGGAGTGCATGCTTCGGAGACGTGGCAGCGAGGGGTGACCTAGGCGGTGGTGCAAGAGGAGAGTCTAGTGAGAGAGCACCCGACACGAGAAAGACGCTGCAAGCTGACTAGACGCAGACACCCAACTCGACGCATCCACCTGACCTGACTCAGCCACCTGTGCAGACGCAGTGGTCAGGGTGTACAGACCGGACCCAGGCTGACGAGTGAACGTAGCAAGGTGACGGCCAGTCCGTGGGCACTTACAGATCGCCACATGCTGTCCTCTAGGAATGAAGGTGTCAACCAATTCATCCTGGAGAACTACGTTGCTCAACAAGTTCGTCGAGAACGCGGGGAGGTGGAGACCTGAGAGAGACCCGGAGGGGACTGTCGGACATGGGAGGACAGTGGAGGCTCGCGCAACTACTGGGCCCCCAGTGGGGTCAGCTAGTGAGACTGGGACAGGTGCTGCGAGTGGTGTGACTGTGGTGCAATCACGAAAGAAGCAACGTGAAGCGTCTAAGTCAAGCGTGAAAGTGTGCAAGGCCTCAGCTGAGGCAGGACCTGTGACAGTAGACGCACTAGCACCTAGAGCGTCGGCAGACTCACGAGCACCTAGAGCTGCAGCAGACTCACCAGCACGTGGAGCGACAGCAGACTCCCTAGAACCGAGAGCAGCAGCCTCTACACGACCAGGGACGCATCGCTGAGAAGCAGCCACATAAAACCAAAACCTCCACAACCAGGACTGCCTCGCTGAATAACCCACTCACGAAGCTGCTGAGGGGTGGGGTCGTCCGGGAGAGGCAGTGACCGCTGCTGTCCACCCCTGGCCACTGCAACAACCGTGATAGTGGCCATGACAGGCAGTGACTGTCAGTAGTAGGTCCAGCACCTCCAGCACCAGCAGCACCTCCAGTACTCCCATCCGCACCTCCAGCACCTCCAGCACCAACAGCACCTCCAGCACTCCCAGCAGCACCTCCACCAGCAGCAGCAGTAGCACGAGCAGCAGTAGCAGCAGTAGTAGCAGCAGGGCGGCTCGGTGGGGCTGGGCGGCGGCACCTCCAGCACTCCCAGCAGCAGCAGTAGCACGAGCAGCAGCAGCAGCAGTAGTAGCAGCAGGGCGGCTCGGGTTGGGCAGGGTGGCTCGGGCTGGGCGGCGCGGCTCGGCCTGGGCGGCGCGGGCAGCAGGGCGCGACGCGCGGGCTGCAGGAGGGCGCGACGCGCGGGGCAGCAGAGTGCGACGCGCGGGCTGCAGTAGAGCGCGACGCGCAGGGCAGGAGGGTGCGACGTGCTGGCTGCAGCAGGGCGGAACGCTCAGGCTGCAGCAGGGCGTGACGCGCAGGGCAGTAGGGCGCGACGCGCGGGCTGCAGCAGGGCGCGACGCGCAGGGCAGGAGGGCGCGACGTGCTGGCTGCAGCAGGGCGCGACGCTCAGGCTGCAGCAGGGTGTGACGCGTAGGGCAGTAGGGTGCGACGCGCGGGCTGCAGCAGGGCGCGACGCGCAGGACAGTGGGGCGCGCGCTGGGCAGTGCAGCAGGGCGCGACGCGCTGGGCTGCAGGGCAGGGCAGTGCAGCTCGGGAGCTGCAGGGTAGGGCGGCACGCGGGCCTAAGGGCAGGGCAGCGCGATGCACGGGCTGCAGGGCAGCTGGGCGCGGGCTGCAAGGCAGCGCGGCGCGCGCTGGGCAGGGCAGCAGGGCGCGATGTGCGGGGGGCGGGCAGTGTGAGTAGCTGCAGGGCAGCGCGACACTGTGCGAGCAGGGCCGGACAGAGCAAGGGCGCTTCGGGCAGGAACGAGCGGAACTATCGGTGGGCCCTAAAAACTTAACAGGTTTCCTGCTCTGAATACCATGTCAGAATAACTGTGCAGGAATCATTGGATTAGCAAGAGTTGGGGTACAAGTACTAACCCTAGAAGTGCTGTACCCCATAAGGAGTGCCCCACTATAGCCTACAAGTAAGATTGTACTTTGACATGTGAGGGGCTGTGAGGGGGATTGGGGGGTAGGGAGGCCTTAGGGGGGCCTTGGGGGGGCCGTGGGGTGTTTTTTTTTTTTCTGTTACCGTATTTTGCCTGTTCCTATCATATAAAGCATTCCGGACCATTGACTGATTGTTAAGTGGTACAAAACACTAAGGTGATAGATAAAACCCACACAAAAAACTTCCATGAATATGCCGAATACCGAGAAACAAATATAGAATCTCATAGCCCATGTTCCTGCTAACACAATTCTACTACTGTAGTTACATGTCATCCCTGGACATGAACAGTGTTCAGAGGGTTATTGTTTTGCAAACCAAACTTCATCCCAGGGCACTGACCAAATCCTGGCATCATCATCCACCCGTGCTTCAATCCGGACCGGCGAAAATTCTTGCACCCACCCTGCAGAGATAAAATGCACAGCACATAAAACTCCATACTGCTGGTGACAAATACCTGACAACATAGAACACAATATTTTCTCTCACATACATCAACATGGCTCAAGAGGGACTCACGTACCAACTGCCCCTGTGGAGGGCGCAAGCAGCTCACCCGTCTGATGCAGCTCACCCATCTGATGCAACTCACCCGTCTGATGCAACTCACCCATCTGATGCAGCTCACCCATCTGATGCAGCTCACCCATCTGATGCAGCTCACCCATCTGATGCAACTCACCCATCTGATGCAGCTCATCCATCTGATGCAACTCACCCATCTGATGCAACTCACCCATCTGATGCAGCTCACCCATCTGATGCAGCTCACCCATCTGATGCAACTCACCCATCTGATGCAACTCACCCATCTGATGCAACTCACCCGTCTGATGCAGCTCACCCATCTGATGCAACTCACCCATCTGATGCAAATCACCCATCTGATGCAGCTCACCCATCTGATGCAGCTCACCCATCTGATGCAGCTCACCCATCTGATGCAACTCACCCATCTGATGCAGCTCACCCATCTGATGCAGCTCACCCATCTGATGCAGCTCGCCCATCTGATGCAACTCACCCATCTCATGCAACTCACCCATCTGATGCAACTCACCCATTTGACGTTAGCGCCGAGGGGGTCACAGGGCTCGGAGGAGACAGGCTGGCACGTGGGGCCGGAGGAGTTGCGCCAGTCAACGCCCAGGCCGAGCATCACTGTGATCGCCATGGAGTGGCCGTCTATGCCCGCCAGCCCCGCTGCCGTGCTGCCGAACGTGGAGAGGTGCGTTATGAGCAGGCGGTCGCTGAGCCGGGGGAAATGGGGAGGCAGGGAGAAGCACAGAGGAGGGCAGGGAACAGATGGGAGCGGAGGGAGCGTCAAACGGTGCGTAAAAAAAACAGCCGGTCGCTGCGGTGGGGGCAGCTGGGGGGAGGGGAGTGATGAGGACAGGTCCAGGGGAGGAAAGCGGGGAGGGCGGGGTTGCAAATAGGGAGGGGCGGATAGGAAGTTGGTTGGGTACAGGTATGCCTGGATGGCACGGCTGCTGCTGGGCTGCCGAATGACGGCATGTGTGTTACGAGCAGGGAAGCAGAACACAGCACAGGGGAGGGATAGGATGAGAAGCAGTCCAATGCAGGCACGGCAAGGCCAACACAGCAGCAGCAGTAGCAGCAGCAGCTGCAGCAGCAGCAGCAGCAGCCATAGCAACGAGTCGACACACTAAGAATCTGAAGGTCGGCTCAGTGAGAGATCAGGATCAGCGCACTAAAAGCTGAAGGTCAGCTCACTAGAAGCTCAGGTCAGCTCACTAAAACCTCAAGGTCAGCGGACTGAAATATCAGCTCGAACTCACCAGAAGCTCAGCTCCAACTCACCAGAAGCTCAGCTCCAACTCACTAGAAGCTCAGCTCGAACTCACCAGAAGCTCAACAGCCACATGTCCACGACTGCTGATACCATCTGCTTCTCATCATGACTCTCTACCTTCTCATTGGTCAGCCTGCCATCACAAGGTAGCACATAAGCATTGGGAGGGAACAAGCAGGGTATGGCAGAAGTCAACAGAAGTAAATGAGATGGCTTTCCTGCATGTGGTAGTGCGAATAGTGAATCTGCGGAAATACCCATCCCAGGCTAAAGGCATTAAAACACTATCCACGTCAAGAAGCTCAGGGCGCTTCAGTGAGACCTTGGAGGCACCTTGAAATAGATGTGTACAACAAAAAAACCGAACCCTGGTTTTGATATTTTGAACATGTTCGACTGTATGTCAAATCAACCCTTTCTCAGAGTGAACAACAATTTCGACCGAACAGGTTCGGTTCAGTTCGCCCGCACCCAGTCGAGGTCGAAGGTTAGGGCTGGCCGTCATTCTCACCTCACAACTTCAGGTCTGGGTTAGATTCCCTTACCTTCCTTTCTTGAATGGAAGGTCTACGCACCACGAAGGCCCTCACAGAGACGGCACAGCTGCGCCAGGGTCGCTTCCGGGACCTCAGCCGTGCGAGGAGGTCCAGGCAATGTCAGGAGGACCGGCGCATCGACAGCAGACGGGGGAGCGGGATCAGCAGGCAGCAGAGGCGGGTACTGCGCTGTCACCGCTCCTCCTGCCGCGGTCACAAATTTCAGTCCCGCCACTGGAGGAACCCACGGTAGCCGCAAGCGACGATCACGAGCGGCAGCAGATGCGGCAAAGGCGGGAGGAGCCGGGGCAACCGCCTGAGGAGCCGGAGCAACCGCCTGACGTGGTGGAGCCGCAGCCACAGGAGGTGCAGCCGGAGGAGGAGCCACTGGAGGCGGAGCAAGGCACTGAACTGCCCTCTCCTTGCATATCGCCGCCCAGACAACATGCTGCACGTCCACAAGGGAGATCGGCTGAACATATGCCGCACCACCGCCCATAACCGCGACCTCACCCCACCCGCCACGACCGCCACGTTGCGCATGCTAGTTTGCCTGCGAACGGTTACGCCGGGGAGAGTCACGACGGCGCCGCGACGACTCCCGCTCCTCACGGGGCGCAGGAGAATGCGGGCGAGAGGAGCGCTGGCCAGGAATTGGAGAGCCCAGCTGCTGACCCACTGGTGCAGCAACCGGTGCCACCTGGACGGCCCCCGCTGGCGCCACCATCGGGACCTGGCCGCCAGTGGTGGCGGACACCGCCATCGGCGACGAACCAACGTCCGCGTCGGGTGCAACAGGGACAACAACGGCGGGTAGTGCCGCAGGGAGTTCAGGGGCGGGCGGCGCAACAGCAGGATCAGCAACGGCAGGCGGCGCCGCAGGATTTACAGGGAAAGTCAGCGGACCAGCAGGAGCAGAGGGTGCGGGACCCGCGCCGGGAGCAGGAGGGCCCGGCTCAGCAACAGGGGTAGGTGGGGCAGGCAGGAGAGACACCGGAGCCTCACACGACACGAGGTCCGGTGTCGGAGGCGCAGAGACGCCAGCGACCGAGGGCGCTGGCTTCGGGGCAGGGGGGACTGGCGGCTTCATTGCAGCACTCCCCGAGGCAGACACCGCCAGGGACCTTCCGCTCGCCGCTGACACAGCGGCAGCGGGCTTTGGCGATGGCCATGGGTCGCCAGCAATTACCATCGTGAGGCGGGAGGCGACGAGGAGCAGGACGTCGCGAAGGACGCGGAGTTGAGGGTGGACCGGAGAACACGTTCCAAGCGGCGGGACGAAGGGCTTTAACACAACTAGATGAGAACACTGACCCGGAAGAGCGGACTGACCCGTCTTATAGGGAGGAAGCACAAGCGCCGAGCAGCAGCAGAGAGGAGGAAGACGACGAGGAGGAGAGAGAACAAACGACGGGACGAATTGGAGGGAACCAGAGAGGATTGGCAGTGCAAGCAGGAGGCACACGGGGGCCACAGGATGCGGATCCGAAAGTCACCATTCCAACCCCGCCTTCTACCCGTACTCCGAGCCGCAGACGTACAAATTGAACCACGAGGGGTCAGGCGAATGTGGCTTGCCAGCCCCAAAATCCGCGCTATTTTTCGCCAGAAGAGTTGGCGAGGCAGGCAGAAAAATTTGCCGAGGTGGCAGAATGGGACATTTCGCCTCTCTGCGATAGTCGCCAACCCATGCTGTTACGACGGCTACCGCCAAATCTGTGCGAGATTTTCTCGCTCGCAGTGCTGACACCACTTCTACGCCTAGCCCAGAGATTTTGGACGCCTAGCCCAGAGATTTTGGACGAACTCTGCTGTAAACATCCCGCAGCCTGTCGGAGATACAGCTCTACCCTCATCATCTGCCTTAGTCCTCATGCTCTTCGTCCCTTAGCTCCTTCGGTTGCCTCAGCCACTCTCTTTGAAAGTGACAGAACTCTCACCTCAAAGGTCCTCCCTGAGTGGTGTGCCACCTGCCTGCTCTGGTAAGGTAACAACAGTCCACTATACGAAAGGATAACAAACAGAAAGCATCAGAGGTGTGTGTGAGAGTGAACTTACCTGACCCTGGCTCAAACCGTGCATTTCTCAATGTGCGGCTCGAGCCTGGGTTGGTTCGTTCTCATTGGTTGCAAGGATTTCACCCAAGGTGCTCTCCTACCAACTTCGCGTCAATTTCCCAGCTCCCACCTACCTATCCTCGAATTTGCAAACACAACATAGCTACACCTCCACTACACCACCATGATACTGGCACCTTATATGCACAACCGTGCATATTCGGTGACAGCTGTCGGAGATGCAGCTCTACCCTCATCATCTGCCTTAGTCCTCATGCTCTTCGTCCCTTAGCTCCTTCGGTTGCCTCAGCCACTCTCTGCCCCCTCCTGTGCCCGCGCTCGAGCGGCTTGAGCGCGGGTCACAGGACCAGTACGCTGAGGCCCGGTCCCTCTGATCACTGCAGTGTTCGTCTGATGTTCCCTCAGCTGCGCTCCTGTGTCGTTTTCCAAGACCAGCACCCCTGAGGGGCGCACCTCCTTGACTTTCCAGCGGATTGTCCCCAACCCCACGTCAAGGGTGTCCTGCTTAGCCCTCTTCAGATAGACTTCCTGTCCCTCGCAGACATCCTTTGCTGTTCTTCCCTCCCCTTTGTGTTGCCTCTGTTCGTATCTTCTTGCGTCCCTGAGCTGCGCGGTGTGCAGATTCTCCAACGCGGCTGGCATCATGTAGCGCATGTAGCGCGCCCTCACCTCAGACAGGGCTACCCAGTTCCTGATCGTGCCCGCTGTCACTGTATCTGTCAATACTCGTGGTGCTCCCACTGGCAGAATCGGCTCTCGTCCGAACAGCAGGCTATACGGGGAGTGATCCTTCAACGCTGCCTGCTTCCCGAACCTGTACCCTGCTGCGATCCAGTCCAACTCCTCATCCCAATCCCTCTTCCTCTGCTCCCCGTAGGCCCGCAGCCCCCGCTTGAAGGTTTGCACGGCTCTCTCAGTCAGCCCATCACTCTGCGGGTGATAGCGGGAGGTCTTTCGGTGCGTGATGCCAGACTCCGCCAGCAGCTTCTTGAACTCCCCCTGGAACTCTGTTCCCTGGTCTGTGAGTACCTCCCCGCATGCTCCAAATCGGCACACTACTTGCGCTTTGAAGGCTGCTGCAATGTGCCTCGCGCTCTTGCTAGGGATAGCTCGCACCTCCAGCCACTTGCTCACATGTTCCACCATGAACACAATGTACTGATTCCCGCTCCGACTCAGTGGCAGCTCTCCCGCGAGGTCCAGGGACCAACGGAACCCTAGTCCGCAGATTGGCAGTGAGTGCAGCTCTGCTTTGGCCTGCGTCAGGTTTGCTTTGCTCCTCTGACACGCCTCGCACCCCTCCACCCACTCTTTTACTTGCCTGCGCATCCCTTCCCACCACCAGCCCGTCTTCAGCAGGTGTACGGTCCTCTCGTGCTCGAAGTGCCCCAGCTTAGTGTGCACTTCCTTGATCACTGCTTCACGGTCCTCGGGCGCTGGCACCAGCTTCCACCCATCCTCCGTCTTGATCTGCAGCTGCTGCTGATACCACCTGTAGTGGTGCCCTCGTGCCCTTACTCTCTCAGGCACCGTTTCATCCTCCTCGGTTTCTCCCTTCACCCATTGCATTGCCTTTGCATCCAACCAGATGTCGGCTGGCCCCTTACTCCCCTTCGCCCCCGTCTGCTCCACCTCTCTTGCCAGTAAGATCAAGGTCCGTGCCGGCTCTTGCTCTGTCTCTTCCGTCCCCAGGGTGGCCTGTTTCGTTTCCAGCGGCGGTGGATTGCGGGAGAGGCCGTCAACGTGCTGCAGCGTCTTCCCCGGCCTGTGCCTGATCTTGAAATCATACTCCTGCAGCTTCACTGCCCACCGCGCGTTCCTGCCTGTCAGCCCTGGTGTAGTCATCAGCCAGGTGAGTGGCTGATGGTCAGTGACTAGGGTGAATTCTCGGCCCTGCAGGTATATCCGGAAATGCCCGACCGCCCACACTGCCGCCAGCCCTTCCCCAATGTATGAGCTATATTGTGCTTCCGCCGGGTTGCAGCTCCTGCTGGCGTAGGCCACCACCTTCTCCACTCCCTCCACCTCCTGGCATAATATTGCTCCCATCCCTTGGCTGCTCCAGTCTGTGTAGAGGATGAAGGGCTGGTCTGCTGCTGGCAGCCGCAGCACTGTCGCTGTCTTCACGGCTGTCATGAGGTCTTGCAGTGCCTGTCTCTGCTCCTCTCCCCACTCCCATGCCTTGTCCTCCCGCAGCATCCCATTTAGTACTGTCGCTCGTTTGCTGAAGTTCGGCACGAAGCACCTGTAGTAGCTGAGGAAGCCCAAGACCGCACGCAGCCCTGACTTGTCTCTTGGTTCCCTCAGCCTGTCCAGCACTTGCACCTTCGCTTGCTGGATACCAATCTGCCCCCCTGTGACCTCATACCCAAGATACTGCACTGTCCGCTCCCCCCACCTGCACTTGTTGGGATGGCAGGTGAGCCCTGCCCCTTCTATGGCGGTCAATGTCCTCTCCACGTCCTCCAGGTGCTGCTGTTCGGTCAAGCTGAAGATCACGACATCATCAATATAGCACGCCGCGTGTTCTATTCCCCGCAGCACCGCGTCCATGACTCTCTGAAACACCGCCGAGGCGTTCCTCAGACCGAAGGGCATGTAAAGCCACTCGTACAGCCCATCCGGTCTGTGGAAAGCCGTTTTCTTCACATCCTCCTCTCTGATCTTGATTTGATTGAACCCCTGTCGCAGGTCCAGCGTCGTGAAGAACACTCCGTCAGCCAGCTTGTCAAAGAGCTCTTCCGCCATCGGCATTGGGTATCTATCTGGCACTGTAATTTTGTTGAGATCCCTGTAGTCCCCGCACATCCTCCTACTCAGCACCTCGCCTGTCAAGTCCTTCCTGGCTGCCACCACGGTTGGGGTAGCGTATTCTGATTCTGACCTCCTGATCAGTCCGGCTTCCAGTAACTCCTTTATCTTCTCCCTGCAGATCACTTCATCCCCTGGTGGCATCTTCCTCCTGCGGTGGAACACCGGCTCATCACTACTCAATTTCAGCGCCATCTCTTTGATCTTGCACTTCCCCAACTCCAGCAGTGTGAAGGCGAAGCCCTTCCGATGCCTTGCCAGCAGTGCCCGCATCGCTGCCTTCCCTTCTTCGCTCATGCTCTCACCTATATTCCACTCTGGCTCCTCTTTCTGCAGGCAGGCCCACACCCCTTGCCTCACCGTCGCCACTGTGTTTTCTCCCTCCTTCAATCCCCAGTGCAGCACTGTCTCCTTCCACATCCGCTGCACCAACCACCTCATCATGTACCCATCCATGGCATTCCCCAATGCCCGTCTCCGTTCCTTCTCGCTCACGCCTGGGGCTGCTGTAGCGTTCTCCTTGTATCCCATGGCCAGCTCCCTCTCCAAGGCCGTGGGCTCTTCCCACTGTCCCTTCCTGTGGTCATGCACCAATCCTGGGCCTGGCTGCTTCCCATCCATCTGATAGCCTGCTGCCCCCTCATATGACACCAGGGTAGGCAGTGCCTGCCTTTCCTGTCCCACCTGGTTGCAGGGATAATGCCTGCTGTAGCCCTTCTTGGTCACTGGTGCTGGCGTTCTTCCTGGCTCCAATATGTCGCTCAGCTTCCGTCCCCCAGCTCTCTGCACCCCTTCTATTTCCTTCTGCAGGTCTTCTACTGGTACCACATTCTGCCAGTACATCCTGAGCCTGTGCGCATATGCTCCCATCCGCGCCGCATCACTGCTCACTCCTTTCCCCACTTGTCTGGTCACTCTCTCCCTTACTAGTCTTATCGGTTCTCTCACGTCTCCCTCCATATCCAAGTGCTCCAGCAGGTAAGCCACTCTGCCTTGCCTCGCCTGCACCCACTCCATGACTCTGAACAGATCCTCCATCAGTTGTGTTCGTAGGTCTTGCTCACCCTTGCCCTTCCCTGCCCATGATACCCCTTGGCATTCCCACCCTGCCACCAACAGGTCCACGTGCCCCCAGCTTGCTACCTCAGCTTCCGTAATGGCCCTTACATCGTTCACTCCTCTGCTCATTGCTGCCTTGATCACCTCTCCCTGCAGCAGCTCCGGGAACTCTCTGTGCAACTCCCACGCCTGATGCTCCGCTATTTTCCTCACTTCTGGTGCTTTCTCCACGTAAATCCACTGCTTTACTGCAATTCCATTTCGCACCACTGCTGCCAGTCCCGCCCCGATTCCTCCGAACAGCTCCACCAGCCGAATGGGTTGCTGCCAATCGGTCTGCTGGCTAGGTTCGTCCATGAAACGCATCCTGGGCTCCCCACCTTGTCCCTTGCCTGTTGCGGCCTTCTGTGCCCCCTGCTTCGCTGTCACCTCCTTCAGATCTGCCCTGTAGGCCCTTTTTGGCTCGGTCCTGACAAACTGCACCGGCAGCTGCCCCAGTGGCTCACCCTTCCTCCACCACCTGGTTCTGAAATCCACTGTCTCCTTCCAGAAGCAGATGGTCATGCCCAATGCAAAGATCATCTCTGTGCCCACCAGGACGTCAAAATCTTCTGACTCTGAGATCCCGCACCTGATTCTAACCGGCGTCTCATGCTTCTCCCCCTTCAGCACCGTCAGTTCTATTGGAGTCCTCGTACAAGGCATCCACTTCGACTCTCCCCCCTCTGCTGTCATCACTAGCATCCCCTTCACCACATGCCTGTCAGGTGCCCACAGTCCCAGCTTCTCGGCCATCCCCTTTCCGAGTATCACGCTCTGCGCTCCAGTGTCTATAATAGCCGTCTTAGCCTTCTCCCCTTCCACTGACAGCGCACCACCTTGGATCAGCAGCACGGAAGTCTGGCAAGCCAACCTCTCCTGGGGGTGCCGTGCTGCTGTGCATCTCTCCTCCTTTTCCTCCGGCTTCTGTCCTCTCTCCCGCTCCTTTCTCAGCTGCTCCTTCCGTGCATCCTTTCCTCCGCTGCGCAACCCCATCTCCTCCCTTCCTCGCCATGCCATGTATGCTGGTTGCTCCTCATGCTCCATCTCATTCTCTCCTCTTCCCGCCCAGACCATGAACGCGGCTTCCTCATCCTGCTCCACATCTTCTTCCTCCTCTTCCTTGGCGTACATCCCCGCCTCTGCTTCCCGTCGTGGTCCCATTGCCTGCAGCTGGGCCTGCAGCCTGCTGATTTGCTTCTCCAGATCTTCTGGTGACTTTTTCGCTGCTCCCTCTCGCTGATAACACTCCTTTGCTGCATGCCCTCCTTTCCCACAGACTTCACACTTCGGTGCCGTTGGACATTCCCGCCGCCGATGCCCTGGCTTGCCACAGGAGTCACAGTTCTTGCAGTCTCGGCGCAAGTGTCCTGGCTGCCCACATCTGTGGCATGTTCGTGTGTCAGGCCTGGTCTCCCCTCTTCCCGCTGCCCTGTCCTTCTCCTCCGGTATCATGGCCGCAGCCCATGTAGGCCCCCTGCCTCGCTCCGCCTGTCTGGGCCTGTATGCTTCATATTTCCTCTGCGCCAGCTCCATCTTCTCTGCCAGTTCAAAGACCTCTTCAAGCGTTGTGTCGGCCCCCATCTCATACACCTTCATCCGCAGTCCGCTTCCCAAAGTGCCCTCCAGCCCATCCAGGAATTTACTCACGAGCAGGGCCATGTCTGCGCAAGTCACATCCTCTGCCAGGTTGACCAGCCGGTTATAGTAGGTGAGTAGTGACTCGCCCCGCCCCTTCCTGAAATCTTGGAATTCCCTGATCTTCTCTGCGGTGTGACCTGGAAACTGCCGTTTCAGCCGCCTCAGGAATGCTTCAGTAGGGTCTTCCCCGTACCTTCCTGCCCTTTCCAGTAGCTCATCCATCTTCATCCTGTACAATGTCTCCGCCTCCCCTTCCAATGTGTTTGGCAGACTCAGGAAAAAGTCCACCGAGTCCATGCCGCTCCTTTCGCATCTGTACCGCACGTTGCCCACCTGCATCAGGTAATTCTTCAGCGTGGGGCCCGTGCGCTGATCTCCTGAGAAGCGTGCTGGCACTTCCACTCTCGTGGCCATTACCGTGCTTCCCTTGCCTTCTCCCCACGCCTCGCTCGGCCCTCCTGCTGATCTCCCTGATGCTCCTCTCTCTCTCGCCCGCAGTATTCCTTCCCTCGCCTCTCTAGCACATTCTAGGCTGTGCATCAGCCCGCTGCCTTCCTCTCTGCTGTTGCGTTGATCCCGTCCTCCCTCACTGGTACGTCTTCCGTCATGCTGCCAGTACCGATCAGGTGAGTGATACCCTCCGCCGCGCCCCTCATCCCTGCTCTGTTGCCAAAGCTGCGAGCCGTATCCGCCTCCCCGGCTTTCTCCATGTTGCCTGTGCCAGTCGGGCGAGCGCGTCTCGCTTCCCCACCTCTCTCCATGATACCGTTGCAGATCAGGCGAGCGGTAGTCGCCTCCGCGTCTCTCATCACGAGGGTAACGAGGACCTGGAGAGCGCAGCTCCCCCCCGCTTCTCCAGTTGTGATACCTCCGCGGATCTGATGAGCGCACACTTCCCCCGCGTCCACTGTCCTGGTGCCGCCGTTGCTCTGGCGAGCGGTAGCCACCTCTGCGCCTTTCTTCCTGCAGCTGCTGCCGTCCTGGCGAGCGGTAGCCGCTTCCGTGCCTCCCGTCCTCGTGCGGGAGACGTGGATCTGGCGAGCGCGCGCCGCCACCGCGTTCCCCGTCACGATTCTGCCGCCGATCTGGCGAGCGCGTACCGCCGCCACGCCCCCCCTCCCGATACATCCGTGGATCTGGCGAGCGCGTGCCTCCGTCGCGTCCCCCATCACGATTCAGCCGAGGCTCTGGCGAGCGCGCACCGCCGCCGCGTCCTCCGTCCCGATTCAGGCGCGGATCAGGCGAACGCGCGCCGCCGCCACGTCCCTCGTCACGCTGCTGACGCGGATCTGGAGAGCGCGCGCCACTGCCACGCCCCCCGCCGTCACCTTTCTCTCCGTCGCGCGGCAGGTCTCGAGTACCGCCCTTTCCTTCTGCCTCCGCCGTGCTCGGCTCCGCCGCCACGCCCGCCTGCGCGGGATCGTCGTCATCAACTCCAGCGGGCATCTCGCGCTGCTCGCCTGCGCCTTCCTCCTGGGGTTCGTCATCGCCCTTGGTCTCGCCTTCACGATTCGTCTCCCGCACTCGATTCGCCGAGTCGGCCTCGTCTTCTCCATCCACATCAAGATCGCCTTGGCGACCCGAGAAGAGCTCCTCCAGACCTCGCCCGCGACTTCTCTCTTTGCGACGGCGATAGCCTTCCTCCGGCGAGCGGTATGCTCCCGTGTCCTGGCGGTACCCACGACCGCCATCCGCTCCGTGACGCCCGTCCGTCCGCCACGGGTCACTCCCCGTCGTGACGGATCCAGATCCGCCTCTTCCTTCTCGGGCGGATCCTCCCTCCTGGCGATCTGGCGCGAGAGGGACCTGATCCGCGCGAAAGGCCGGCCTCCGCGGCGATCGCTCAGGCCGCCGCGGCGACCTCTCCAGCGAGCGCCCGCGCTCACGTGAGCGTTCGCGCCGCGAGCGATCCGCCTCACGGCGACCATAATTCCTGCCGTGACGCATCTCGTACACATCCATGCTTGTACGCGCACCGTTCTGTTTGTTATGAAAGTGACAGAACTCTCACCTCAAAGGTCCTCCCTGAGTGGTGTGCCACCTGCCTGCTCTGGTAAGGTAACAACAGTCCACTATACGAAAGGATAACAAACAGAAAGCATCAGAGGTGTGTGTGAGAGCTACACCTCCACTACACCACCATGATACTGGCACCTTATATGCACAACCGTGCATATTCGGTGACAAGCCGACCCTGACCCCCTGACCTGGCCAGACATCACCAAACCTTCCAACCTCGAAATTTCTTACACGGATTTTTCGAAGATGCTCAGCCGATGCGAGAACGGCGTCGGGGCCGGCCCAAGTGGAATGACATTCGAACACCTTCGCGACTCGTCAGTAACAAACGCAAACGTCTCCACCCATCTGCACGCCTTAGTGAATACAATTCTGAGAGGGAAACTGCCACAGCCAGTCGCGGAACTGCTCACAACATCACGCCAGATAGCCCTGGCCAAGCCTGAAGGTGGGGCCCGCCCAATAGCGATTGGAGAATGCCTGACTCGCCTGACTGCAAAAGCTGCGCTGGCAGCCCTGGGCGAAGTGGCGCAGGGTTATTTTCTCCCGCTGCAGTATGGTGTGGCTGTGCCAGGCAATCATTCACAACGCACGAGCATACACTGATGCACACCTCGACTGCCTTATCCTACAAACCGACATTTCCAACGCCTTCAACAGCATATCAAGACAAGCCATAGTTACCGCATTACAAGATCCGGTTCTTTCACCACTGCTGCCTCTAGTCAAACTGACATACGGCCAACCATCATCATTGTTCCTGGACGCTAGCTTCAGTAGCGCACCACTAACAAGTGAACGCAGGGTGCGAGAGGGAGACCCCTTAGGTCCGCTCCTGTTCGCAGCTGGGATCCACCCCGCATTGAGAGCAACAGCTACAGCATATTCCGGCGTACTGTGCCTGGCATACGCCGATGACGTTAGCTTTTTAGGCGAGCACCGTGAGACCGTTGCTGCCTTTTCTCACTTCACCGGCCAACTGTCCCAAGTAGGCCTGCGACACAATCCGGGGAAATGTGCCGCATGGAGCAACCACCCGATAGACCAAGCAGTGCAGCTGCCGCCCAGGGTGCCGATTAGTACTGAAGGCGTTAGGCTTCTCGGTAGCTTTCTAGGAACGTCAGATGGCGCCGCCTCTTTCCTATCCGCACAGCTACAGGCTATGTCCAAGCCGTTGCCTCTGATAGAACGAATGGTCCCACAGATAGCATCCCTCCTGCTCACCCGCTGCATTTCACGCCGGTAGCGTATCGCACGCGAACGGCTCCTCTGCATCTTCTGGACAGCGACACTTGGTCACAGTGGGGTAGGGACTTGCTGGCTACCCTCCTTACGGCGTGCGGCATACGCTTCCCGACGGACGGCACGGAACAGACTCGGGTCTGGGAGCAGTCATCACTCCCACCGTCGTTAGGGGGTATTGGACTCACAGACCCCACGGTAGAAGGAACGTTTGGCTTCCTAGCCAGTTTTACACAAGTATCACTCCTCCTTAGTGCCCTGCCGCTGGATTCAGAGGAGGCCTTGACGGCAGTTAGGAATCACATGCTGCTACCGCGAGATGCCACCAATGCTCTACACCGCTGGCTATCTGAATGTGAGAGAGCGCTGCCGCAGGAGGCCAGGGACATCCTAGACAAGGAAAGGCTCGAGCCATCAGATTTGAAGCTGCAGCATGAGCTCGGGGTGAGAGTGCAGGGGAGCAGATATGCCATGCAAGTACAAGCAACGCGACTCATGAGGCTGAACCCACTGTCAGGCCATACCCAACGGTTTTTCTCTCTGACTGGCTACGGCACTGGGGACTGGCTGACAGCAATCCCAATAGAACAAACCTGCCGTGTGGCCCCCGAGCACTTCGCCAATGCCGTCCGCTTCAGACTCGGGCTTCCCTTCTCTACACCTAAGAATTGTGACTGCTCTAAGCATATCGAGATCACGGACCCACGACTGCCAAACCACCTTTTTCGCTGCGGCACGGGCAAGCACAGAATCAACACTCACAACGAACTGCGGGGCGTGTGTATTACAATGGCGCAGGACGCTGGCTTCATAGTTCACAGCGAATCAGATGCATACTGCCCTAAAGAAGAACAGACCGCGGACTTCACCATGCATGATAGGAGCTCGGGAGCGGTCTATGCATGTGATGTCACCATCACGGACCCCATTAGCACTCGGGATCCCAATGCTACTAAGGGGAGGGGATGGGCAGCAAGGGAGCAGGCTGACAAGAAAATCAGCCACTATGCCAACCGGCCTGACACGGTCAGCTTCTTCCCCCTGGCAGTTGAGACGTACGGCTTCCCCTGTGCGGAAGTCCCAAAATTTCTGAAGTTACTAGCGGACACGGCTGCTCGGCGTCACTTCAACGCCCAACCAACCTCACATCACGCAGCTAGGTTCCTACATCTCTTCAGGCAGCGCTGGTCCGTGGCTCTGCAAAGAGCACAGTCCGTTGGATATCTGATCAAGTCCTCCCAGGCGGCTGTAGCTGAAAATCCTCCCGTGGGGGGGGTGCAGTCCGAGCTCCACCTTGGGGACTGTTGTGCTGTGCTAGAGCCTCTCATGGAGGTGTAGATAGGCCACTCTGTGTTGCTGGTTAGTTGTATGCTTGTTTGTTTCCAGTCCTAGCACTTATACCTTGCACGTTTGTACCTTTCTACTATATGCACGTACATGTCTGTACCTTGCTCGGATCTAATACGCCTCCGCCAGATTCAACATGCCAGATCCGGCGAACGCCCGAGCTCCAGAAGTGGCTGGTCAGCAGGGCGATTCGACCCAACGCGAACCGGCACCCAGGAGTACTCAGGGGACGAGTGTCGCACTACCAGGCTCGACAGGGTCTACCTGGGACACACCTGAGGGGGCAGGACCCTTAGGGGGGACGGGGTCTACCGGAGGAGCACCTGGTGCTAGGAAGAGGGGCGGGGGGGGGAGAGAGGCAGTGCGGTAGGGAAAGAGACGGTAGTAGGATACCGACTCGTCAAACGTGACGTCCTAAGAGGACAGAACACGACACGAGGTAGGGTGGTAAAACTGCCAACCAGGTGCGTCAGGGGGGAAGCCAAGGAAGACACAGGGAACGGCACGGGAGGACAGCTTGTCCGCAGAAGTATCGCGGACAAAAGCTCGAGATCCCCAGACATGGAACACAGACGCATCGCCAACCTTCCCCGTCCACCGCAGAGTAGGTGTGGTCTCCAGCAAGGAGACACGAGGCTGAAGGTTGATATGATGCACAGTGTACTGAACCGCGAACGGCCACAGAAAATGGGGAGCAGCCGCATGGATCATGGACGTTACGAGCGACGTCCATGACCATGCCAATGCGGCGCTCAGCAATCCCATTTTGCTGTGGGGAGGCCGGAAGCGTGAACGTCTGGCGGATGCCCTCCGCACGACAGAAAGCCCTCAGAAGGTCGGAGGAGAACTCACCCCCTCTGTCGAAGTGCAGATGCAGAACAGGAAGGTCCGAGCCGAAACTCTCGCTGAGCTGGCGACGGGCACCGCGGATCCAGTCGATCAACACCTCAGTGACCTCACCCTTGTGGCGCAAGGGGAAGACTGTGGTGTAACGCGAGTAATCGTCAACGACTAGCAGGAAGTAACGCTCGTGACCCTGTCCACTGACGCGGGCTGGGCCCCACACGTCCATGTGGAGAGTCTGCAGGGGAGCCTCGGTTGGAGGGAACTCGGAGGAGTGAGGAGCGGCGCGCTGCCGGCCCTCGACAGAAGGAACACAGGTAGGGGCAGGCCCCGAAGGAAGGGGAGGGAGGGACCGGGGGAGACCAGAGAAAAGGGA